ATTCATAATTATTAGTTTTATTATCATTTCGAGGCAAAATACGAATTGTTTGCATACCTGAAAACTGTTCAAATAACTCATTTATTCTATCCTCAATTGATCACAACAAAAGTATTGAATATATTATTTCATCGAGTTGGAAATTCCTATTCTATTCGTTTTTGTAATTGACGATTTATGATATTATCTTTGTTATGAATTCAGAAAACAATGCATACTCTATTTCTGTATGTCTGAAGGATGGCAAAAGTGTCTTCTGTAACGAACTGTGAACATTGTTTACTACTTGGTTTTACCATCATATTTTTTTGTTGAAACCTAATTTATTTCTTTACCTTTTCATTTCTTTTTTTAATAGAAAATATTTCTCTTGTTACCTATTTCTCTGGTCAATCATTATTTTATGAAATTTGTACAGTCTTAGTTTTATTTGTTCATTTCTGGTCGACATTATGCTCGCCCATGATCGGATTTATCTAACTAATACGTATGTTTTCGGAAGCTAATAACGAACATTGTTTCTGCAACTAATTCTAACTTTCTTGTAATATCATTTTTGAACAGTTCTGATGACAAGACTTCCACTGACTAATCCATTTATGGTTCAACTATTATACCGTATCAAGTAACCTAGAATACTAATCGATACTTCTTCAGTCGCCTCTGATAACTACTTGAACGTGAAGCCTAAATAACTTGTGATATGTGCATTTTTTCTTCTCTAGGCACTTGATTCTAAATCCGTGTTACATAGACCCGAACATCGTTTTACAAATTAAAGCATAATATCCACATGATATTAGCAACATTCATGTAATAGATTCATTTCACAGATTAGTATATGAACACTTATTTTCGTTACTCAGCTAAATTTTTACTCATCTTGACCTATATATAATACAAAGTGCTGTTGATAAGACTAGGTCTGGCCCTGTATTGCACGAGAATGGATATCATGTTTTTTGTAACTTCATTCTTCTAGTCGATTCCATAAGAGACTAGTTCTTAACTGCAACAATAAGGAAAACACACCCAGCCATCTAGTATCTAACACCTTGCTCCATGCTAGCGTGATGGTTCAAATCAATTAATCCACATTAATTTCTGTATTTACTTATCATGATGCTATTACGAAGTTGATCCTTTAAGAGATATCAGAAATACCATAGAGAGCACAAATACTTTCTTCCTCGATTGGTGACACGCTTAAAACCTTAACCAATTTCGATTATTGGTGAGTCACTGTTAGAAACCGTGTTTTCTCAGGATGGATGATCCTCGATATATTTGAGACCATCTTCCTATTGAACCGTGATAAAAAAGACTGACTTCACAACGGAGTCGAAATAATGGTAATGTAGATGATATTATGCAACTAAGCACAAAGAATATAGTTTTGGAGCAGTGACTGATTAATAAAAAGTACAGAATAAAATTGAAACTCCGGATTTTTAGGGAAGCAAAATAAATGCATTTGTGCCACTGAGACCGATTTTAAGCTGTTACCTATCTAGTTACTTTACTCCTTGGAGGCTGGTCAGTCCCGATGCAACGTTTCAGATTGAAAGTTATGGAGACCTAAGGATATTTCTACTTCAAGCAGAAGCCTACCTGAAGTTTGTAATGTCAGTCAGAACATTGAAAGCTCCACGACCAAACCACCTAGCTCAGAGAACAAAACTTCACCTAAACCACCCACCTGATCTACGAATCTTCAACTCAATATTTCTACATTGTTGTCCAAGACGTTTGAGACGCTGTATTTTGTTAAAATCTTCACCAAACAGAAATAGGTCATTATTGAATTGTTTCTTAGAAAAGAAGTAGAGTTTTAGGCCTGATACTTTCTGCAGATCAATGTCTGGATTGTTCGTGTGCCCCATATGTGTGTCGCCTGATAGGATATTGATCTCGAAATAGACATGAAGTACGTATGACGAAATTACACACAAAATGGAGGTACAGAGAGCTTTGATGAAAACCTCGAAGTTACCAAATCTAATGATAATTTGTCGCAAGCTCCAAGTCGACAGATATCCAATGATTAACATTGCTACGATACCTGTTGCTTGACGAAGACGAGTTCCACAGCCTGTTCAAGGAATAACTCAGTAAGGTATCGGTATATTGTTTATGTCCTAAAACCTACCGGAGGATAAGTATTTAATCTGATAGATCGATGGTTCGCTGTTCCCGAGCCCCAATTAAGCGCTGACCAGTCGTGGGAAGTGATACTTTCAACACAAAGTTTGCCGAGCGAACCACTCTGTTGTTTCCAACTTCCTTGGCTAAAACCCTAGAGTCTCTTTCCATTGATGTATACTGTGTCTCTGAAACACGCATACAGGATCCCAGTGTGGTCATTCACTTGACCTCACCTCGGCAAAACGGAGAGCCAACGAGATACAGCCTCCGTGTATCTGGTGACCCGATGGCCAGTTCTCGTGGACTGGCAGGTGTAGGCATAGCACTAAGCATGAGGGCGGAACAAGCACTGCTAGAGTGGATCCCCGTCAACAGTCGTCCATGTGCTGTTCGCCTGAACGGCTCCGTAAGAACTCGAAAGGATAAGGATACACGTCGTTGACTTTTCGTCGTTTCTGTCTACGCTCCCACTGACTGCAGCTCAGATGAAGTGAAAGATGAATTTTACAGAAAGCTTTCTGAACTTCTTCAGAAAGCTAAACGCTCAGACAGAGTACTCGTAGCAGGTGACTTTAATGCCCAGATAGGTAGTTTAAACCAAACAGAAAGGCATTTAGGTGGATATTTTAGTATACCGGCACAACGAACAGATAATGGTGATCGTCTGCTGCAACTGTGCTCAGACAATCGCTTATTTTTAGCAAACACAAATTTTAAGCATAAGGAGAGACATTGTCTAACATGGCGATCTCCTACACCAAACCAACGATGGACTCAAATAGACCATAATGCCATCAGTCATCGATGGAGAGGGTCGGTAGAAGATTGTCACTCATTCTGGAGTACCTGCTTGGACTCTGACCACGCCCTAGTACGGGCACGCATCTGCTTGCGCCTCACCGGACGCAAAAAAAGCCACATTAAAAAGACCCGTTAGAACTGAGTTGAGTAACGAGAAAACCAAAAGTAGGTTCCAAGAACAACTGAGTTCACAATTAGGTAGTTCTGAAGACGAGGCTGACCCAGATGTTGCTTGGAAAGACATACAAGCAGCTGTGGAAACAGCAGTGACATCTATTAGCGACTTAAACCACAGAGTTGCAAGGAACCAGTGGATTTCTTCAAGGTCTGTCACACTGATGGATTCTCGCAAACTCGTCCCATCAGGTTCTGAACATGATGAAGAGCGAAAACAAATCAGATCTAGGTAAAGCAGAAGTCTAAGAAACGACTGTGAGCAGTGGTGGGCAACGAAAGCAAAAGAGATGGAAAAGGCGGCGGCTATAGGGAACACAAGACAGCTCTACAGACTAATAAAAGAAACTGGAATTAATAAATCAAGTGTAAGTCAGACTATTTCGGAAAAAGACGACACCCTCATCTGCTCTCAGTCCAGACGTTTAGAACGATGGGCGGAACACTTCAGCTACTCTACAACTACCCTCCATTCCCAGACAGCGTGAATGGAACACTGAAGTAGGTCCCCAAACTCTCGCTGAAGTTCAAAAGGCTATAGTTAATCTGAAACGAGGAAGGGCAGCTGGTCCAGATGGATTGGCTCCAGAGGTCTTTAAGGATGGTGGTCCAATTTTAGCGATTAGGTTGACTAATATTTTAGCTAAGATCTGGGAGTTAGACTTTATCCCATCTGACTGGTCGCAATCACTTATCGTCCCAATATATAAGAAAGGGTCAAAATCATCCTGTGACAACCACAGAGGGATTAGTTTAACAAACAGTATCTAAAGTACTGGCCTCGATAATTATCAGACGCCTAACTAAGACTCGTGAACTACAAACTCGAGAGAACCAAGCTGGCTTTAGACCTGGTCGTGGCTGCATCGACCACATATTCACCATTCGTCAGGTTCTAGAACACAGGCATACTTATCGGCGTCCGACGATGGTGGTCTTTCTTGACTTAAAAGCAGCGTTTGACTCTGTAGACCGCGAGACTCTGTGGCAGTGTCTGTCATTGAAAGGCGTACCTCAGAAGTACATAAACCTTGTGAAGGCTCTTTACTCGAACACTACTAGTCGAGTCAGGGCTTATGGCGAACTGTCATCCACTTTTGCAACTTCAAGTGGTGTCCGTCAAGGCTGTCCACTTTCTCCATTTTTGTTTAACTTCATCATAGACCTATTGATGGAAATAACACTCTCGTCGACTGAATTCTCGGGTATTGATCTCCTTCCAGGAGGTCCACTTATCGACTTAGAATACGCAGATGACATAGTCCTGTTTGATGAAGACGTTGATAAAATGCAGAGTCTTCTGGTAGCACTAAGCAACAATGCCAGAATGTTTGGAATGCGCTTCTCTCCCTCTAGATGCAAGTTTTTGCTTGAGGACTGATCTGCGTCAACACCTGAACTAAGGATAGGGAGTGAAGTAGTCGAACGCGTCGACAACTTCACTTATCTTGCAAGTCTGATCAGCCCTATAGGTTGGTGTCTGACGAAATCTCAGCACGGATTCGAAAAGCTCGTTTGGCTTTTGCCAACTTACGTCACCTATGACGAAGGCGAGATATCCTCCTATCAATTATGGGACGAATATACTGTGCAGCAGTCCGTTCTGTTTTAATTTACGGCAGCGAAATATGTCCATTGAGAGTAGAAGACACTCGTAAGCTATTAGTATTTGACCACAGATGCCTCAGAAATATTGCTGGCATCTGCTGGGATCACCGGGTAAGTAATAGTGAGGTTAGACGCAGGGTATTAGGAAATGATGGTAAATAAGTTGATGAGGTTATGAATATTCATCGACTGAGATGGTTGGGTCACGTGTTGCATATGCCTGAACACCGATTACCACGACGTGCAATGCTAACCGGTGTTGGGGATGGTTGGAAGAAAGTTAGGGGCGGCCAAACCAAAACGTGGCATCAGTGCTTGAAGTCACTAACTTCTAGTCTGAGCCATGTTGGTAGATGCAGACTACTTGGTTGGGGTCCGCGTGACTATCGTAAACAATGGTTGGAGACTCTTGGTGACATGGCTCAGAATCGATCACAATGGCGTCGGTGTATACACACCCTGTCTTCCCTTAAACTGAGAGATTAAAATCGCTCCATATCTTTCTTTCTACGAACCAATTCTTTCTTCTTGTACTATATCTCTATATGCAATCTTTCTCTTATATATTACCACCTTTGACCTAACCACTGCTATGAATCCGGTGTTCATCTTGTTGTGCTGATGCGGTATGGCAACCTGGACCGATGCACATATGTGCCTGGTCCTACGTTGTAGCTGACTGACTGACTGACTTCCAACTTTATAATAAGATGACTGTCCGTGAATGCAACTAACGGAGCGGGGCAAACTTTACGAGTGGTACATCACCAAATCCTCATTATGACATAACATTTTTGTCAGTTTAAAACAGATTTTTGTTCTAAGGACCATTACGATTAACAATTTTTAATGAATAGTTTAAATCCGGACTGGTGATGAAATCAAACCACTGCAACGAACTGTAACTTCTACACAAACCAATTATTTCATATTGGAACGATGGTTCACAGCCAAGTTGGATGCTTTTGGTGTTGTTTCTCAAGCTGGACAATTTAGTTCCAAAGCTTTCATTATCATCCTGAATGGCATAACCAGCACCCACTTCATTTACATGTGAGCTTTTTAAAACAGTCCTTTCTTTTCGTGAGTTGCATACTAGTTGAATTGGTAAGCGGTAGCTCGCTTGTACCTCTTACATACTATTTGCAAGACTTAGGTACAAGAATAGTCCACTTTAGTTGTAAGCAGTGATAAGATCATTTGGAAGTATCATCACAGAGTAACGAGTTTCATGAGCCATACTTTAGATCATTCCGGGATATGTATATCGCTTTGAGACTAGGAAACATGTTATTTAGTATAACGGTCGATATCCATTCATAAAGACACGATCAAAAGTGTGCACAAGAATAAGAGTAACTACCAGAAGAGGTTACAATAATAACGATCAACGGATAAATCAATATTAAAAGAGCGAGCAGCAAAGGGGGGAATAGGGGTTTGAAATTTGATCAATTTACTGTTTATACGTTTGCTTTCACGACTAATCAAGAAAGTAGTGCTTTAAACGTTCATCAAACACTGTAACCTCCCAAATTCCATAACAATTTTCTTATTACTACTCCAATCGTGTTGTTTCATACATCTATTTTGAACAACAAAGCCAGTTGATCTGCTTAATAATGGGGTTCCACAGTAGTGAGGTCCAAAAAATGTCTTTCCACTTTGTTGATTAGAATTCCCTTTGATGAACATACAATCCATTCGCACCGTAAATTGCATTTTCCACGCACACTGGGCACTCAGAAACATATGTGATTTAAAATACTGATATGTATACTTTTTAAACGAATTCCGGATTAGAAATTACGATATTATGAGGGCAAACCATAATGTTGAAATTTGTGTACTTAAATACGATAAGGCAATGGTTTGTCTGGTGATCTTAACTTTTCATTATAACGTTTAACGGCTGGCTACATGTTAATACAAACTAAGAGGTTTCTTATGTATGCTATGAATATTCGCAAAACGACCAATCATTGATTCATGCTTAATAAAATACCAGTAACAGCACCTAATAACTTCCCTAATTATGAACGAAAATATAGATATGTCAAACATATGATTAGTATTGTCATAACTTATGCCCCTGTCAACTATCACGTGACAAAACCGCTAATCAGAACACCGACGTATATGAACTTGTCCATGTGCTAAAATAATGATGCATAAATAAGCAGGCCGTCTCTTATTTCCCTCGGGCAAGCATTTTTCCCCCTTATTGGTTGCTTCAGGACCGCAAAGCAATTAAACTTTAAACCCCCGAAAAACTTCATTCCCTCTTCTAATCATCGCCTTTATTGATATAAGCTTTTCTGATAATCATTCCAATTGGTCTACGTTCTTTTTCTTGTCCCTTTATCAGTGAACTACGATTATGAGGAAGCGCTTACTGCGCTAAGTTGTTGTCCAAAGTTCTAAAGTTTCTCAGTCATCCATATCGTATACAAACTTTCTTTTTATTCAAAAGATTGATGGTGAGACTATAATTTATAGTCTCGCCAATTAAATACATTACAATTTGTACGCACGTCCAGTTGTTGTTCACTAGCAGACGGTTATATGTTGCTGTTTATTGGATTTAAAAGAACCAAAGAGTATGTTTGGACTAGCGACGTATATTAAAATTTTCGAAATGTAACTGAGATATCCTTCTTTCGTTCTTGAACTGGCACTTGTCAATTTGCGACTTAGGACTTCCAATGTTGCGAAGCCAATGTTTACTATTATATATGCTTGAAGTCAAAATGAAAAAAACTTACAATGCATCAACACTTACACTTGGGCCTTCGAATTCACCTACCACAGTACCACTTTCAGTATTCATAATCCAGCCGACAAGGCCATTTACCTTAGCGAATTCAGCCGCATACTGAGTTCTAATGATTACATTATCTAGTGACAAACCTTTCTAAAAAATACACCTGATGATGAATAAGTTGTTAGGAAACTTCCATACCTTGAACTTTACCATGAACTTCAAACGTACAACCACTTAAATCATCTTGCTTACCCGCCATCAGTGTTCGCCTTTCAAATGGTTCAAATGGTTCAAATGGTTGTGGACGGAATAGAAGAAGCTTTCGCTTAACAGGCTTCCGTGTCTAGTAGCAGGGGATCACCAAATCCTCCAGGCAGGAACCTAGGTATGTTAACAATAAAAAAGGAAAAGAAATTGGTAAATCATAATGTGATGCTGTCCTTGGTCCTTAAGAATAGGTCAAGTTGCCTCTTGAAGGACTCCTGAGAAGTCGCTTGGACTAGCTCGGCCGGCAGCGAATTCCAGCTTTTGACAACTCTTAAGGAGTAGAAGTTGTGTCTACATTCCGTCTTGCTATGTTGTGTTTCCAGTTTCTGGGTGTTACCCCTTAGGTTATTATTCGAACTAAGCTTAAGTAGGTGTTTAAGAGGATGTCCAGAAGTGTTAAGAATACTATAAGCCATTAGTAAATCACCTCTAAGACGCCTATATTCTAGTGGGTAAAGGTCTAGTGAACGGAGGCGTTCTTCGTAAGGCTTAGATTTGAGTCCTCGAACTGATTTCGTGGCTCGCCGTTGGATACGCTCCAAAGTGACCTTGTCCTTTTGGAGTGAGGGGGGAGTACTATGTTTCCGTACTCTAAATGGGGACGGATGAAACTATTGAAGATTGTATGGAAAGTTCGTCCGTCAAACTGTCCAAAAATGCGCTTCAACGTTACCAGTGCAAGGTTTGCTCGGAAGGCATTTTTGTCACAGTTAGCGTAAGACTTTAAGTCATGGGGCATCAGGACTCCTAAATCCTTTTCGACTTGGGATACTACTAGAGAGGAGTTTCCTAAGTTGTAACTGTAGTTTGCGACATGTCGCAGATGGACTACTTTACACTTTGAAGTGTTAAAGGTAAGTCCGTTATCGTCTGCCCAACTTTGAAGTCGCGTCAGATCCTCCTGAAGTGCCTGTGTATCGACTTGGTTGCGTATCTCTCTCCAAAGTTTCACGTCGTCGGCAAAAAGTAGTAAGTCTGACGTTACCTGTTGAGGAAGATCATTTATGTAGATCAAGAAGAGAAGAGGCCCTAGTACTGAGCCCTGGGGAACCCCACTAGGACATTCCATAGCCTGAGATAAAGTGAAATTAACCCTAACCTTAAAGTGTCGATTTTTTAGGTGTGAAGTAAGCCAATCGATTAGAGGTGGTTTGATACCTAGTCGTTTGAGCTTGTTGATAAGACACAAGTGGTTAACCTTATCAAAAGCTTTTGAGAAATCAAGGTAAATGACGTCAACCTTTCCCTTGCAATAGAGGATGCTTGTCCATTTGTCCACCACAGTCAGCAGGTTGGTTATACAAGAGTAACCCTTCCTGAAACCATGCTGTTGGGGTGAGAAGAAATTTAAGGACAGTAGATAGTCATTTAAACCGTCGCATATCAGGGACTCCATGAGTTTTGAAGGTAATGACAGAAGAGCCACCGGCCGATAACTTGAAGGTTCATTGCGTCGACCACCTTTGAAAATTGGTGTGATGTGAGCCAACTTCCAGTTTTCCGGTAATTTGCCTCGGCTAAGCGAGTGTGAAAACATCACGCTAAGCGGCGTTGCCAGGATTGAGGCTGCCTCCCTCAGTATGGCAGGATGAACCATATCCGGGCCAGGAGAAGTGTCAAGTTTTAAGTGCTGCAATTTCCGGAACACCAAGTCAGCGCTTAGGTCCACTTTAGAAAGTCCTGTGGAATTGCAGATGAAACTGCCTTTGGAGATTTAGTAGCCGAAGGTCATTTGAAAAGAATGAACGCATGGAACTGTGTTACCCTTGATAATAATGGTCTCTCGTCTGGTCTAATTTTATTTATCTTTGTGTTGATCTATAGCTACCTGAAGGAAAAACACAACGCGTGTTATTTAAAATAAACATTTCAGGTGATTTTATCCGCAACGCAACCATGTAAGCCTAATCTATTGCCCAGTGTAATAACGGTTATGTCTACGTTCATGTAATCATAGAATTCGTCATTTTATAATATATTTTTTGTTAAATAACTAGATTGAGCTGTGAATTTTGCTCTGGTTGTAATTTTTATTCGACACGTTCGACTGCGTTACACTGAACGTTCATGGCATGCTGAGATGATATCACAAGTCATAGTAAGTGTAACTACATCGTTGATTGTTTCCAAACAGACCGTCAGTATATAATGTTACTTAAGAAAGGTTTGTTGTGCTGTAAACTATGTTTTTATGAACAACTGACTGTTGTCTCTAGTCTCAAAACAATATCCTTTGTCTTCTGCTAGGTAAGTTTAACCGGCCCATAGTTCGTGTTTTGGGTTTATCGGCTGGATTATGTACATTTAACTACTTTGAGTAACATGTCTGTGCAAATGAAATAATAATTATAACACTTGCATAGTTAAGTATTCTTGGTTGTCATATAACTCAGTTTAGTCTATAGAATTATATTATACTTAAGTGTAGTGCTTGAAGCCTGTAACGAAAAATATCAGCTTAGTAAGTAGAGCTGCCTGTTCAAAAATAGGAAAAAATTTGCCTTTGATGCTGTTGCTGTCATACTTTATAAGATAGCCCCAAGCTCTCAACTTTGGGGAAATTATGAGAAATTCCCTAAAGTGAAGTGGCCTTCCCCAAAAACTGGGGAAATCCCCATTTTTCGGGGAAATTTTGGGGTAAATCCCCAAAATATGCGTAGTTCATCACTCCAGAATAACATTTCATCACAATTGGACTATCAAACCTTAAAATGATAAATTACAACTAAGAAATATTACCTTTAATAAAAAATGGCTTTTGGTCACGAACAGTCTATCGAATCTGAGGTTTTGTTTTAATACGTCAAACAGACAAGAGACAATCATTCATCGGCTTTAAACCACTTTTTCAAATTTCCCACGCCATGCAGGTGGGTTATTTGTACTGTCTAGAACTTCAATTACTGTTTTTGTTCAGTCTAACTTAAGTTAATTGTCTCATTCAGAATAATAATATACAGCTGGATAAGATTGTTAAAAGGCGGGCTCAAGCCATCAGAGACTTGAGGTTGATGGGCTGTCCCAGATCAACCTATTACAAAAGGTTGCGGAAGTTAAGAGCTGAATTCATAAAAAGAGTACCAGTTAACCACCGGTGACGAAGAGAACAACAATTCAGTCATCGTCACAGAAGTAGGGACCACCGCAGCTTTAGAGCCGTGTAACAATATAGCCTCAAATACAGCCACTGCTTCATGTAGTTACGTCCAGTGTTCTGATACTACAGCCGACTGTAGTCTAGCTTTATTTAGTATGTTTGTTGTTTATTCCTAGACCGTACATCTAGCACTGACCATATTTTAAGATCACTGTCACTAAACAATTTCCCCAGTAATAACATCGGTAACAGGATAGCTAAGCGTATGAGCTTTTAGTTGCCTGCGAAACTGCACTATACAGTCCCAGAAGATGAGTGTTATGTGTCTCAGTTAAGTACAGCCGGTTGTAGACAAATGTTAAGGATCTTTTTAACAACTGGGACTTTTAGTTTATCAGACACTAACTCTGCTTGTATGTCTTCCTGTAAAACCAGACGCAGATGCATGGGAATACTTAAATGAGAGTAAAATAACAAAAGCTGTGCGGTACGGTACTACGCCCATGTTATGCTTTGCACAAGTCATAGTAGCTGACCTGATCTAATATTCATGAACAGATGCATAACTTCTTTGCTAAAAAACATGTAATTTGTCTATTTATCTATTCCACATTTCTGACTAAATTCACTACTATTTTTTCATCTAGAATGCAACAGCAGTGAGCCGTCGTAGATCCTAAAAACTGTTTCGACCTTAGAACTATGGTCCTATGAAATTAATAACGGGAGACCCAACCAACAGCAGATTATATAAAAGATGCTGGACGTCCGTTTTAGTCTCACAACCACTTCCAGTATTTATTTGAGTTAATTCTTTTACCTTTTCGTGTGGAAAAAACAACAAAGACTGCAGCTTAACATTACCAATGCAACTTTTAAAAGGGAACCTGGTATAAGCCTTTGTTTGATATTCGATTGTTAATTAAAGTTGCTGTGTAAATTTTTAAATCTAATGCTGTTTTGTTTTATCTAGCTATTCGTTATAAGAAACTTGTGAAACACGAGCCTCCCAGCACCGAGTTCATATGTAGTAAATTTAAGTGATGTAGTACATATCTTCGTTACTTCCTTGGGAAACCTACAGACTCGTGTCCTCTCACAACTTATTCTAGCCACCATGAGTTGTCACGACAGTTGGTGGATGGACACGCGTTACACATCCTAACCTCCCTTTGTCTAATCTTATAGTTTGTTATTAAAATGGAACACCAGTAACTCAAAGGCACACTGTGTGGTACCGTACATTGGTCTACGCACTCAACTTTTTTATGAGAATATTACTACAGTCTTGCTAAACATCCTGTGAACCCCCTATCTCCATCAAAACAAATAAGTCTGTATTTGCTGCACACAACAATTTTGTTTTCCAAAAGTAAGATATAACAGTTAAAATTGGAGTAAAATGGCAGTTGTCCAAAAATCACTCAAATGTGAAAGTGAAAATTTGCAGGTACTTTTCATCTCAAGGGTGAACGTACTAGATACCGGTTGACATCACACCGTGAAAAAACACAAACTTGCGAGTCGTGAAATGTAATCTATAAAAACGTGAGCTTAATAACAGTTAATTACCTTTTTACTCCCTGACCATGACCCACTGGCTCTCTTTTATGACCAAAACAGCAAACATACAGTACACACTGATAGCAGATTTCCGGCTTTTCAATGTTAAGCTTGCTTTAACGCACGACGCAATTAGTACAACCCTCCTATTACTGCTATATGGCATATATTTTATAACAAACCCTCTGCAATAGATCGGTAGCATCTGTGACTTCGACCATCCCAAGCCCCCAACTTTGGGGAAATCGCAATGTGAAAAAGCCTTCCCAAAAGTCAGGGGAAATTTTGGGGAAAAACTCAAAATTTCCCCAAAATTGTGAAAAACTTTGGGGTTTTAATAAAAAGTGTACGCCCACATCCTCAAAGTGTAATAAAATTCCGGGGAAATTTTGGGGTTTTGTGCCATTCCTCAAAGTTTACTATAGCGGCTTCCCCCAAATGGGTCGGATTTTCTCCAAAATTGGGTCCTTTCGAAAACAATACTAATTTCCTCTACTGCTGGGCACTCAATATTAGTTTGACTCGTTGTTGGGATAGTGTTGTCCATAATACTGAAGAAAATTAAAAACCGGTGATCGTCTTCCTTCATTTTGCCGATAACATCATAAAGGACAGTTGGGAACGAAAATGTGACAGTTTGAGTCACAGGTGGCAGCAACAATTATTTTAGCTAAAAAACGAACTTCGGCTTTGGATATCTAGAAAACAAGTCAAAACAAAACCGATTATCATTTTAAAACAGGACTAGCGAGCTTGCCTGGAGAAATACATTGACTTCAGTAGCATCAGCAAAAACCCAGAGAACAAAGCTAAATCAGAAACACTTTGCTCCAACGTTTAGAATCTTACATTAACCTCTGCATTTTAGCACACTGAAAAACTAAATCATATAGCCACACAAAAGAAATAGCGGAAAAAGCACAGAAC